GGATTAGCTGGCGTAGGGATAGCTCTGAGTACTAGGGCAGAAAAGACATTGCTTGACTGGATCCCAGTAGATAGCCGAATGTGTGCTGTCCGTCTGAACGGATCAGTAAGAAGGAGAAAGGACTGCACTACTCGCCGATGCCTTTTCGTAATCTCCGCCTACGCCCCCACTGACTGCAGTTCGGATGAAACGAAGGATGAGTTCTACCAAAAGCTGTCTAGTTTGGTGAGAAAGGCTAAACGCTCAGATATAGTCGTTCTAGCTGGTGACTTCAACGCTCAAGTAGGGAAATTGTGTCAATCTGAGAAGGATGTCGGTGGCACCTATGGAGTTCCGTGCCAGCGAACCGACAACGGTGACCGTCTCCTACAGTTCTGTTCAGATAATCATTTGTTTCTTGTAAGCACTAACTTTAAACACAAGGAGAGACACTGTTTAACCTGGCGACCCCCATCATCAAACCAACGCTGGACACAAATAGACCACATAGCAATAAGCTATCGTTGGCGTGGGTCGGTAGGAGATTGTCGCTCCTTCTGGAACACGTGTGTAGATACCGATCACGCACTGGTCCGGGCTCGTGTGTGCTTACGACTGAACGGACGTAGGAAACAGCTGGCGGTAAAACCATTACGCCCCCAGCTCGATCAGGAAACTAAATCCCTATTTGAGGAAGAACTAGCTAAACGCATATCTGAATCCGACAGCTGTGCTCACCCTGGAGAAGCCTGGAAGAATATTCAGTCAGCTATAGATACAGCTGTAAAAGCTGTGAATAAGACAAATCCAAAGGTGAGTAAAAACCACTGGATTTCGACTGCCTCATCCGAACTGATAGATGCTAGAAGACTTATTCCGGCGAGCTCCGAATTCAATGAGGAGCGAAAGCTGCACAAAAGGAAACTTACTAAAAGTCTCCGCAAGGACCGTGAACAGTGGTGGGTGACAAAGGCGAAAGAGATGGAAAAAGCATTGGCGATAGGCAACACTAGGCAACTCTTTAGACTCATCACAGAATCGGGCGGGAAAAGGCAATTCATAAGTGAGACTATTTCTGAGAAAAATGGCTCCTTAATTAGCTCTCAGGATAGACGCCTTGAACGCTGGAAAGAACACTTTGAGGAACAATTTAACTTGCCTACAGCCACACTGAACCTCCCCGCCATCCACCACGTACCCGAATGGGATATAGACACTGGTCCGCCGTCTGTAGGTGAGGTTACAAAAGCTATCAGTAATTTGAAACGAGGCAAAGCGGCAGGACCCGACGGAATTATTCCGGAGGTGTTTAAATATGGGGGTGACATACTAGTTTGTAGATTAACTGAGGTACTAGGCAAAGTCTGGGAATCAGAGACAGTACCATCAGACTGGGGTAAGTCACTCATTATACCGATATTCAAGAAGGGAAACAAGTCCTCGTGTGATAATCATAGGGGGATCAGCCTAACGAACATAGTCTCTAAAATCCTAGGCTCAGTAATCATGCATAGACTAAGCAGAACTCGGGAGGAACAGACAAGGGAAAATCAAGCAGGCTTTAGACCAGGTAGAGGGTGCATAGATCATATCTTCACTCTTCGACAGATTCTAGAACATAGACACACTTTTCGGCGTCCAACAATTGTCATATTTCTTGACTTGAAGGCGGCCTTCGACTCCGTGGACCGAAAAGTACTATGGCAATGTCTGACTGTGAAGGGAGTGCCAAGAAAGTACATTGCACTAATCAAGGCACTCTATTCAAACTCACGTAGTCGTGTAAGGGCTTATGGGGAATTGTCATCTGAATTAGTAACAACCAGTGGTGTCCGACAGGGATGTCCACTTTCCCCATTTCTGTTTAACTTCATCATAGATATGCTAATGGAAGTATCCTTAACTGAACGTAGTGACTTAGGAATCGACTTGTTACCAGGGAATAATCTAATGGACTTAGAATATGCAGATGACATAGTCCTGTTAGGGGAGGATGCTGACAAAATGCAGAGTCTTCTGAACACCTTGAGCAGCAATCTTCGTATGTTTGGCATGCGATTCGCCCCTGCAAAATGTAAGATGCTGCTACAGGACTGGACGACGTCAACCCCTAACTTAGTGATAGGGAGTGAAGTGATAGAACATGTTGACCACTTCACCTACTTGGGAAGTTGTATTAGCACCAACGGACTGATTGGCGATGAAATCTCAGCACGGATCCGAAAAGCTCGAGCTGCTTTCGCTGACTTACACCATCTCTGGCGTAGGCGTGACATCCGGTTATCAACCAAGGGACGTGTGTACTGCTCATCAGTTCGCTCCGTCCTTCTCTATGGCTCTGAAACATGGCCAATACGCGTTGAAGACATGAAAAGGTTGACTGCTTTCGATCATAGATGTCTGCGATCTCTGTCTCACGTTAGGTGGTTTCACAAGATAAGTAATGTTGACGTTAGGCGTAGAGTGTTGGGCAAAGAGGGAAAATCAATCGACGAGGTTATAAAGTTACATAGACTAAGATGGCTAGGTCACGTGGTGCGCATGCCTAACCACCGCCTCCCCCGACGGGCATTGTTAGCTGATATAGGTTCAGGTTGGAAAAGAGCCAGTGGTGGCCAAACAAAAACATGGCATCAATCCATGAAATCCTTGACAGTTAAACTGAGTCAGGTAGGGAGATGCAGACTCCCGGGTTGGGGCCCTCGGGACTCTAGGAATCAATGGCTGGAGACAATAGGTGACATGGCTCAAAATCGTTGTCAATGGCGCAGATGTATTCAATCTCTGTAATCTTTCATATTCCTTTCTACCATTACCCATTCTGTTTCACTCTTATACTTGTCAAACTCTATTGATTCTCTTCACTCATCTTCTTGTCTACCTCTGTGTGCTATTTGGAACGTGGCAACTCGAACTGCTGCACTTCGGTGCCAAGTTCTATGTTGAATCCAGACAGACAGACAGACAATATAGTTATATTGGAAATTATAAGTCACAAAGAGTGGATGTATCTGCGCCAGTTACTGAAAACGTTTTCGATACATATCACCAGTTATCTACAGTATCCATTGCTGTTTACCCTCCCGAGGACACCAACCAGCTGTAATTTGTGCTTCTAAACATTTTGAGGTAGCAACTATCGGTCGGAGAGCACATAGAAGTGCACTGCTGTCCAATGACTTTGCAACGACATTTAAGACTTGTAGTTCCAGCTGAGAACGGAAATTGTTTGTTATTGGCTAAGCTTTAATATCTCATCACGAGTAAAACGTTCAAAAACTAAAGCCCACACAACAACTTCCAGCCCCAATTTGTGCTACAAATCTTCCCCGTTATTCCAAAATACACAGTGAATTGTCACTAGTGATTTCCCTACGCGTAAAGGAAACAGAAGTATCTCGAAAGATGGGAAAATTAAACTAAAATCCTCTGTACATTTGTAACTACAGCAGTATTAATTGGAAGAATATCATCACTTGTCATTAAAATGAAGTTTTCTTGAAAAAGATATTTCTTATCCCTACATAACTGTGCAAATTTATCTCACCATTCAGCAGTTCTCATGGTGTTTTCCAGACACTTTCAATCATTTATTCACAGACTTCACAGCCCGCAAACTCTATATCCTAGAGTTAAGTTACAGATTCAGTTATTCCATTTTATCTCCAATAGTACATGGTCAATGAAAGCCAGGAACATTGATCATCTGCTTCGAATAATTAAGCATTCAACAAACTGATTTATCGAAACAACTATACAAGTAAGAGGTCAAGTACATAATTAAAATCAATCATTTACACATGTGCAGGCGCTACCCATAATAACCGCTCAGTCAAGGTAGGACAGATGAATGTGATATAGAACTCATCAATAATTTGCTATAAAGGTCACAGCACAAAAGAAATGAATACTTACTGGAATTAGTTTGCATTTTTCGCTAACTGCCTCTATAGGTTAGAAAGGCTCGATGTCTGTTAACATATCATCAGCTCCTAGTACAGAGGCTACAACGATACCTTAAGATGGATATAATGTTATTTGGTTCACGGGAGAAGAAATGCGCATCCTAGATTCAACGGATAGATACCATGCGCGAAATAGGATTTATTATGACCTGGTTGGAGGTATTGGGGAGGAAGCCTTGGGACCTACGTTTCATGCTTGTTGGGACTCGTCAGCAAGGCACATTACACGCGTTATTGTCCAATCAAAAAGGAATCTTTTTCTTAAAAAAAAGAGGAAGAGAGAAATAACATAAAACACTATTTTCCCATTGAGTTTCTATCAATTCTTCTATTTTATTCATACCTTTCGCCAAATGTATGATAATAATCATCATCATCATCACAGAGTGAGCAAAAAATACGTGAGCGGACAAAAAAATGAGATAGAAAACAACAAAATAACTAAGTGAACTGTGTACATACACACACATGAGAAACAAATGCATATAAAAGAAAGAGAAAAAAGCATTTCATTTTCACAGAGAAAGAAGTAATAACAAATAAGCAAAAGATCACCTTCGTATGTGTTAAAAATGTAACACAGGTGACACACTATCACAATTATACCAATAAAAATCATTAGAAATAATAATAATCATATAATGATATGTAAAAACAGGTGTTGTTTTTCATTAAGTAAAAAAACGATATCTACGAAATCACCGATAAAAAACAAACAAACAATCAGGAGTGACACTCAGAGCATACTAAAAATGATAAAGGAATGAGGTGAATTAATTGTGATGTATACAAGTCAGTTGGGAAGTAAAAGATAAAATGATAGACAGACTTTATTTTTCAAACTGAGGAGGGTTTATAAAACAGTAAAAGACTCCGCAAATGACTAATTACTTTTTGAACACTATTCTCATTAAGTTCATATTACAGGCATACCACCGATCATTGTATAAATTATAAGAAGACATATAAAAATAGGTGTGTCTATAAAATTTAAGGAAGAAAAAAATAATAGTGGAAACTGAGCATGACTTTAAAAAAAAACTTGTCGATTTCATTTTAAAATCCAGACACATCGACCACACTTATGTCAGCTTGTTCTTCTTTTGTCTTACACTCCTCCTATATAGTGGGATAAAATGAAAACACAAAGAAAATACACTCTTTTAGACAGGCATTACACATTTTCCGCTGAATCATTGAAGGTAGTTAAAAAAAAGAAATTCTCAATTGTTATATCCTGTATCGTTTTGCTATTAGTTAGTTAGCAAAGCATATCCTCAGCGTGAAGCAGATAAAATATGTTCTAAACGTAAATCTGCTCTGTTTAGCATCATGCCATGTTATTCAGCTACTCGAATAACTCACTAAATGATTACAATGTAAATTTATTCACGAACCAAAATTAGTTGGATACCGTTGGAAATCAGGGAATACTGCACACCGATAAGCTTACCAACGATCAAACACTTGAGATGTTCAAGTTACGAGACCAAGCCTTCTTAACTATTCAGCCACATGGGCCGTAATTTAAAGACCCGTGAATTATAATTCTGTCAATTCTCGATAAAGCGCTTTGCTCAACCAATGACTTCAATGAACATCCTCTTCACCTTGATATGGTGGATCCTACTGGTCACAACTTCTCAGTATAACTTCAGGACTTCCATCCAGCAACCATCAATGAGCTGAAAATTGATATTCTTTGACTGTGAGCTTTTGTAGGGATTCGGATTCATTTCAATGGAGATTTTGTCACAAACCAACATCACCAATCAGAGATCATTGGAAATCTAAAAGGGTGAATGGTCAACAAGCTTGATTTCGTAATTTGAAAACCCCAGATTCGATCTCTGGTGGGATGATGGATGCGCACTGACGAAGCACCCCAAGCTAGGACGAAACAGCTGTGCAGTGTTCCTCAGTTATCAATAATCTCTAACTGATGTTGGTTTATGAGGAAATCTACATTGGAATTAATCTAAATCTAATTTGTGTATAGAAATTGGCTGTAAGCTATTAAAGTTATTATCACTCACCAGCCATAAGCAATTGAAAGACTTCAATCGATTGAGATTAAACAATATAATTTTTTAAAGATTCAAACAACACAAAATTTACACAACATAAATAACAAATATATTTCTTTACTTCAACAGAAGGGAGACATTCCTCCAGCATTAAGAAAACAAACCGTTTCCATTTACACAGAAACAGAAATATAACAACACATAGGTGTATAAAAAAGGAAATAAAACAACTAACATGTGTAGTACACAGACTGTGGTAAAAACTAAACACGCACACACATACAGAGTATGACGAAAACACAGTGGAAATACTGTGAGTATGTCAGTAATGCTAACTGTTGTCATTTGTAGTGTAATCACCCCACAATAAATAACTACCTCTTTATATGTATTTACGATATCTTAAAATGTTGTATACATATTTAATATGTATGGCAGAAAATTTTCTTTGGATAAATAAGAGCTTTTATGACATAACTATAACAACATACATGTCACTTTTATAATATACTTGTAGTGTGGTGAGAGCTGGTTGTTAGTCAAAACTGGTGGACAGTAATTTACGTCAATGTTTATGTCCCCAATATCGGTCGTGAGCAGAATGAGAACAAAGGCTTTGCGTAGGCGGATACAGTTAACATACAGATGATCTGACATTCAAGAAACAGTCACAAAGAGATGCAAGGTTAACTTTCAGTGAGAAACAACCAATCAGAAGACTGTGTTTTTCTGCTAACAATAATCTATAATAATGTACATGAAAATCTATAAATATGTGTTGATTTCCTTAATAAATGAACTGTTGCCTGGCTCTTGTCTTCCGTTGTTATAGTAGTACACTACATGAACAAGGTTTAAATAATAAAATCCACAAAATACCTATCAGTAGTCAATCAAACGGAAAGCAGTCCTGACTATTATTCATAAGAGTTAGATACTGTGAGAGAAATATCAAGTTTTACAAAGGGATGCACATTTTAGTCTTTCCAACTAACATTCTATAGATGAAAAAACGAAGTGTATGCAGATTTCAATACCCTAGATGCTTGTTTAACATTCCACAATATCCTTATTTTGTAACTGTTATGTACTCGTCGCTAAATTATTGTTATGGACTGGTCGAGAATTTAATAGTCCTGACGCAAGAAGGCGGAAATCAGAAGACCACTAGGTTTGCGATGATACTTCTATTTCCAAACACAAGGAGAAGCAATAAGTGGTATCACACCAAAGTAAGTAAGTAAGTCAGTGTAAAGTAGTTCACACAAATTGTGTGAGCGAAATATATATGACAAGGGTGTGAACAATCATTAGACAGTCTTAACATGAATGGCTAATTATAATGAAGTATAGATCCACATATACATAGCGAAATATAACAGACATGTCAACAACCACCATGTATGGATATATGTCACCAAGCAACGGACTGTCAACAAACACTCATATTATATATAATATAAGGGGAATATACATTGTTAAAGGAGACAGGTTCATACAAGTGAAATGGTCACAGACTAAGAGAGCAAACAGAAAGAGAGACCAACATACATACACACACATAAATATATATATGTGGATACATATCAGTAACGATTAGAGTTATTTTTGTAATGAAAGGGTAGACTGTCTGTTATTGGAGATTTTGGTATATCAGAGGGCGAACATTAGGCTAAACCACATAATATTTAGGAAATTTCACTACATATTTTACGGAGGAATTTCAAACCTGACCGGTTTTCTGAAAAATCAATCAGCACCTACGAATAGTATCGGAATAATATATCTCCGTCACAACTTGGGGAATAAATAATAGTAACGAGGTTTTCTCAGATATAAATCTCAATGAGTGAAACCTACACCAGTTAATAGCAATGAAAGTATCTAATTCACCTGCCATTTATGTCACTTAGTTTATAACGTTGTTAACACTCCAAAAAGATCTATAATTAAAAGCATATTTAGTCTGCATACCAAAATCGAAAGTAACCTTGTACTGCTCATGGAGCTATAATAGCTTCTGATATGATTACCACTTAACTTCCTTTTCACTACTGTATGTATTTTGTTCATTTTCTCTCACAGTGAACTCCACATTTCCAAAATCCGTAGTCTTTACTGGAAAAGAATAAATATTCTCTCTTGAAATAGATTTCTTTTTAACTACACGTCTTAGCTTTTATTGTTGACATCCCGTGTCAAATCCAACAACAAATATCATTAACATGAATCTTGACTTATAGATGTATGCTGCATTTATGCGAAGAACATGAAAAACTCGTGTAGTTAGTCATCTGAACTCAATTGCGTCTAAGAAACTCGACAATCAGCTCTCATGTCTGTATATTAAGGAGTAGAGAGGATGTATATTAACTACATCTTATTTGATAGTCATGGGTGTGCTGTTTCACTTAATGGTGTTTTGTAAAACACGGAAGAAATGTAAAACATTGATACCTTTCTTGTGGTCTTTTCCTATGTGTCCACTAATTGTAAGTTATATGATGCAGAGAAATCATTTAGGTCAAAAATGACGCGCCTAGATCCCAGCTTCCTTTAGTTTTCTAAAACGAGAAGATAACCGATTTCCTCAGTAAAAGTACCTTTTGAGAAATTGATCACAAGTCACACTTCGTGTATGAGAGGTTAAAACACTACCTAACTGTTGAGAATAAAATAGGTGGAGCGAGCTTTGCAGTTGCGACAAACAGACGCAAAGTTAAGTGCTCCAGCTAATACTCTTCTGCTTTTCTTTGTTATCTACTAAGTGATGCACAGACATGACCTGTGGTGAATTGGACCATGAGACAGCAATTTCTTACCGTATGCTGAAAATTTATGTATATCTATAAATGTTCTATGTGCGTCGGTGGCATAACGGTTAGGACACTCGCCAACCATGCACATGGTCCAGGGTTCGATCTCCGTCCGACGCACTCCTTTACCTCCCTAAGCCAGAAATAATGCTGGTAAGGAGGAAAGGTTGTGCATGAGGTTAGCAACCCCATCCCGTAAAATAAACATTGCTACAGAAACTTCAAGTCACTAGCTCGAGGCCCTATGTTCCACTGGGAACGTGAAGGAAAAAAAACCTTCTATAGAAGGTCAAGCAACCAGATTACTAGAAGCAGCGAGATATTTTGATGCAGAAGGTCAGGCAGATAGCAAATCATTTACGTGATACTTTTTGAAACCTAGTAGTGAACTCCTTTGAACTTACTTAGACAACATGGCATTTCTAATCACTGAGTATTTCAGAATTAAAGAAAGATTGTCACATCTATGAAATCAAAGATTAACACAAGCAAAATATATAAGTACGAGTTACCACCACTGAACGTATCAAGTTGTGGATAGTAAAGCAATACTTAGCAAACAGCTCATCACTTAGCAGAATATGATGTATCTATTGAACAAACTTAATAGCACTTGAAATCTGTCATAGAAGCATAAGCATAGATAGTATTATCCACATTATTCCCTAAAGTTTCGAGTGGGATATAGGGACCCAACAGCACATCTCTACTTTGTCCTATTTCCCAAGGTCCTCTTTACCTAACCCCGCCATTGCCAGCAGTATCTGATGTCCTCCATGTCAACCTCGGACAGACGTCCAGCTCGTCGTCTCCCATTTGGATCCAACTCGAGGATCTAAAGCACAATGCCATTCAACAGTGTCCTCAACGTTTGTCCGATTCACCTCCAATTCCTTCTACATATTTGTTGACCGATAGCCTCTTGGGTGGTCTGTTCCCAGAGTTTCTTGTTGCTAATGCTTTCCAGCCAGCATTCGATCTTCAGTATGGAGCCACCAAAGGCAGCTGTTGGTAAAAGTCTGCAGTGACCCGTTGGATTTGCTTTTCATGACCCGCTCACCAACTAACCCATGTAGAACTGATTTACCATTGGTGTTGAAAATACAAATATTGTTCTTCATGCTGATGAGGAGTGCAGAAGATTTCCAAACCGACTTCAGATTGATGAAGGTGCATCTTGCCATTCCGATTCTGGTTAGCTTTGACATCTTCATCCATGCCGTCTGCCTGTATTTGGAATTATGCTTCCTAGATAAGTGAAGGAAGTAACCTCTGTCAAATCTCTCCCGTTGATATTGATTGGTGCTTGATGTTAGTCGGTCATTTTCGTCACTTCCGTCTTTCGTGTGTTCACTTGGAATCCTATCTTCACTGCTCCTTCTGCCAATCTGCTGGTTTCTGCATGTAGCTCTTCGATTTTCTGTGGCATCAGACATAAATCATTCACACGCGCAATCCACACCCTCCAGAATCTTTTTATAGATCCAACGTATTCCTATATTCCCGCTCCCCACGCCCCGTCTTCCGCATAATCCAGTCCACCATGATGAGGAATATCACCATGGGTGATAGTAGGCACTCTCTTTTGTCTTACTCCTGTATCCGCCTTCAAACACCTGGCTGAGTTTCCCGATGTGGATCACCTGACACGTGGCATTAACTTATAGCTGTTGGATGAGGTAGATAGAGACTTGGGGCACTGCATGCCATAGTGTTGCAGCAGTTTCCGAATTACTTCTCAGTCAACGCTGTTGAAGGACTTTTCCAATTCCATGACGTTAGGCCACAGGTTTGACTGCTATTCTATGCTTTCTTCGATGACGATAATGCATAGAGTTGCAATTTGATTGGCACATGATTTGTCTTTCTTGAATCCAGCTTGTTCCGGCGGGAGGAGTTCTGCGTCCAGTGCGTCCAGGATGACGCGACTTAGTATTTTACACGGCAAGGAAAACAGCATGATTTCACACCAGTTCTTGCAGAGGCTTAAGTAGCCCTTCTCTGGCAGCTTGACAAGGTAGCAGGCTTTTCTTCCAGTCAGTAGCTAACCTCTTTTCTTTCCAAACATTTTGTAATAGCAGTTTCAGCATATCTACTACAGTCTCTGACTCCACCCTCAGTGCTTCAGCTCTGTCTGGTCCTGCTGCCTTCCCAAATATAAGTAGCTTGATTACATTCAAGATTTCTGCTTTCGTTGGAGGATTGGTGTCCACTGGCGAGCAGTTGTATGCGTGCTGTTGATGGTAGTGATATTTCTGGGCAAGTTGCAGATGGTAGTTTAATCAAGAGTCCTTTGAAGTGATCAGCCCATTATTTTATTTGTTTCTACCTCTTGGTAATTGGGTCCCCTTGAACATCTTTTATGGGTTTCACCTACGTTGATCTCTTCCCCCATAGCGACTTGTTTATCTTATATAATGTTCTGGGGTCTCTTTTACCTGCGACCTGCCTATTCTGCTTCAGCTCCCAGTGTGTCGTAGAATTCCTTTTGTCTTTCCTAGCACTCTTCTTCACTCCTTTATTCAGCGTAGTACATACTGAACTCAGCTTCTCCATCTGTTATCCATCTCTGCATTGATTTATCTTCTCTTTCGCCATCCTCCTCTCCTCTCCTCGACTAGCTTCCGGGTGTTTGTTGACAGTCATTCATTGTCTGGCCTTTTCTTTTTTCCTAAAACGGTTTTACATGTTTCCTTGAACATCACCTTCACAAAGCTCCAATGTTTTTCCACGCAGGGTTCCTCAGTGATGCCAAGTAGTTCCTCTGACTTTGCTCTAATGGCTGTAGTGAAGGTATCTTTTGCATTTTTCAGTTTCTGGGTATTGAACTTGAATTTTGGCTTGTCTCCAGTTGTTAATAGGGATTTCAGCTTCACCTTGAAGGCTCTTTGAACTAGATGATGGTATGAGACCACATCTGCTCCCTTTCTCTTTATATATATCCAGCAGGCTGCGTCTCCACTTCCTCGGGCAGCACTGAGATGAAATCTGTTAGGTTTGTGGTGTGTCCTTCAGGTTAAATTCATGTTTCTCATCTTTTTGTGCTTGTACACGCTGCCTCCAATTACCAAGTCATTGAAAGCACAGAAGTCTGCGGAGAGTTCTCCGTTGTCATTCACTTCGCCCACAGCCTCTCGACACATGATGAGTTCTCTTCTCGTATTGTCTGTTCTTAGTTTGGCATCCACGTCGCCCATAAGGCTTTTGATGTCGCCATTTGGGGTGTTATCCATTACTGTTTGCAGTTGTCTGTAAATGTCTTCCTTCTTCTCTTGTTCGGCGTTGTTTGTAGCACTGTGCGCAGTATTGGATAATTGTATCCTTCCTCCCTATTGAACTCAATCTTGCTGTCATAATGCTGGATGAAATTGGTTCCCACTGCACTAGGGCTTTGGCTACCACTGGTGACATCATGATAGCCACTTACTGCTTCAGTGCGCTCTTGGCTGTCGTTTGGGTGACCAGAGTAGATTACTGACTCTTTAGTTGACAATTTCGTTAGTCCACAATCATTCCATCTGCTCTCCTAGACTCCGAGCAGTTCTGTACCGCGTCTCATTTCTTTGGCTACATGGACGGCCTTCCAAGCTTTGTACATTGTAAGAACATCCCACGTCCCCATTTTTATTCTCGCTCTCACCGAAAGAGGACATGTCATCTGGTTGACTGGTTTCCCGAAGGCTTACATCACTCTGTCATTTCGCCTCTCCGATTCCAGGGAAAAGTAAGTCTTCTTTTTATATATTTTGTATTCTTAACATTTTTTGTGCACTGAAGTTTCTGTAGCAGTTAGGTAGTAACTGATACTCAAATTTAAGAAAAGTGCTCCATCAAGTAAGGTCTTTTGGAACCAATGAATGTATGAGGAAACATAATACAGGACTTAAGGCACAAAAAAGTTGGTACCGTAAACATAAACATAAATAAAGTCTGTGAGCAATAGTAGGCAGAAAAAAACACATAGACAGGGGCAGTGTCAACAATAGACAATATCAAATCAGTTTTAGTTAATAAATCTAAAACTAAAAAACGAGTCGTCAATCAGCCATCGTGGAGGACGATTAGGAAGATGAATACGAAAGTTTTGCTCGAAATTATTTAGTTATCGGTCCAAATGAAATGTTTAGACAGGAAATTCAACTTTTTAAAAAATTGAGAATGCATTATAAAAATGAGAGATATGGCTAATCCTGACGAAAAGTCATCAGAAGTATTCGAAAACGGAACTCTTGTGACTATTTAAAATGACTGAGGTACTTAGATGGGATGCTGAAGTCAGTTATGACGTCAACCGATTGTTTTCAATTGTTGATTGCTGAAGTCTTACACTTGACAACTATTTTCTTGTGTAGACAGGAAAAAAACCACATTGGCTACGATAATTCGCAAAGTCAGAGACAAATACCTTATAGAGCTACATAATTCAACTTGTGCGACCTTTTGCGAAAAACTGAGACGAAAAATTATGGAAACAGAAATGGTAACATTACTCAACAACCACATGTGTGTTAACACAAATGACAAAGAGTCACACCAATGGTGAAAGTAGATGATATTATATGGTTGTCTAAACCTCAGTAGGTGGATTAGTGTGTGAACTCGCAATCCTCTGCCTGAGAGTCCAATATCTAATTCAAAGCAACACAGTTGAGTATGTATATGGAAACAAAGTAAAAGCTTAATTTATATTCAGAAGTGTTCGACTATTAATTTATGACAAACAAATTCAGCCAGTCCGTAACCTCATACACAGAAAAAATTAAATAACAGTGGCTTCGTGAGTCAGTTTCACCTGCTGACGAACCATTTTCCTAGTTTTCTACTTAGTCCTAATCTAATCAGTACCCCGTTTCTCAGATATGTGCAACATTTTTGACACGAGCTAACACTATCTGAATCCTAAGCTAAATAGTTATCTTCGTTAACAACCATAAGAAATGCAGTTAACAGTGGCGGATATAGGGTCAGGCTGGAAAAAAGCTAGTGGTGGTCAAACAAAAACTTGGCACTAGTCAATAAAATTCACAACAGTTAGTCTAAGCCACGTAGGAAGGTGTAGACTTCCAGGCTGGGGTCCTCGGGACGGTAAAAATCTATGGTTGGAAACAAATGGTGACATGGCTCAAAATCGTTCTCAGTGGCGCAGATGCATCCACTCCTTGTGACTTATGATTTCCGATGAAACTGTTTTGTTCTTCGTTATTACTCTTCCTTTGTCTCACACCTCTGCTTACTGCCTCTATGATGCTTTTCTTGTACTTTCTTCTCTTGCTTCGCGTGCTACTTGGAGTGTGGCGACTTGAACTGCCGCACATTTGTGCAAAGTTGTATGTCGAAAACAGACAGACAGTTAACAGTGGCAAGAATAGACATCTTCAAAAGGAAGTACTGGTTTGCAATGACAACTGGTCTCTTGAACAACATTATATGTTCGAGAATCAGGTAATCAGGAAGCTGATGAACTTGTTTGTCATTTTGTTCCACGTTGAATAATCTTAGAAGACATGTGAATTCACACACTACATACCACCTTTGGGTGAAGAAAAAGTGACGGCTGAGTCATAGGGAATTAATACTAACTGAAGATACATCATACGGAAGTAGCAAACAACACATGGACATGTCATACAATGGTCTTTAAAATTCAATATACTAACAGATTTCTTTTAGTTTGATTTCACTGACATAAAGAAGGCACCATATCAATATTCGTAAGAGGTAAAAACGGTCTTTGGTTGTCAATCGTCATGCAGCTCTTACAGTCTGGTGCATTCTGAATTCGCGAGATCGTACAAATTTCTTCTTAAATGCTAAGACGTACAAACAGTAAGTGAGAATACGTACAGGTAACTGTGAAACAAAAACATGGTGTGACTTTACATGCATACAACCATTCACAGTGCCACATGCAGTGAACATATAATTAAATACCTTGTTCTTCGAAAAATCCTTGAGGTGTCTCTTCCTTTAAATAACAGAGATAAATATTTATATATTCATAATAGGGAGAATTAGATAAAATAAATTGGATATTCGATATGAAGATAAAGTGTAAATACTGCTTTACCTCTTGTATTAAATCTTGCATATCAATATCGTTTAAAGCTCTTTCTTTTCCAGTTTCTTGGACTTCTCCACCCAACATGAACTCATCTAACACATAATACGCCTTCTCGAAATGAAATATAATGTCCAGTTCACATACCTAAATAAAAAAGTAAGATGTAGATTGATGTATTATAACAGTAGAAGAGTAGTATATATCTAGTAGTACAGATAATGGAAGATGAAATTTGGTAGAAAATCGACTCTACCTGCTGGCAAAATACTCTAATTATTTGGATTAGTAACAAATACAACTTCTAATTTCAGCGACCTGGTACTGTTAGCTTAATGACACACTTAGTGATATAATTTCATTTACCTGGAACATGATGTTTCAAGCAAAAAGACAGTTTATTCACACTTTTAGGGTATCTTCTCCAAGTCGCTTCAATTACTTTAGTATTTCACGTCGAAATTTTTGCACATTTACTATTTCTATATTAAAAATTTTCACAGTTCGATTTTAATCTAGTTACTAGCCAGCTTTAATTGCGTTCTACTCAATACACCTTAGGAAATGAGTCAATATAACTAGTCTCATTCAACACGAAAGAAATAATCGAAATAAAGGGAAGGGAACAAGCTCACCTTCAACTGCATCTATATGACTTTTAACGCCAATGTTTGCTATTCAGTTTAATTTGACTCCAAAAATTCCGTTAGTAAGGCATTTCTAAATAGTTTATGGTAAGGATCTCCTATTAACTTGACTATTATGCTTTTCTTGTACTTTCTTCTCTTGCTTCGCGTGCTACACGGAATGTGGCGACTTGAACTTCCGCACATTTGTGCAAAGTTCTATGTCGAAAACAGATTAACTTGACTAAAATTTTAAACTCCTTAATTGTGTACATTCATATCGAAACATTTTTGAGACATTTTTCTGTAACTTAAGTATCTCCGTAATTTATTTAGGACAAAAATAAGGAGAACGGTTGTTTTTAATAGATTCTTCTTTATCCTATACAATTATGAATCCATTAATTTTAGCATACAGTACCCAGCGAAGGCGAATTATATGTATATCTCTTTCCCTTCTTCTTTCTAAAGTTATCAGTTGGTTTCGAACAATGTTTCTCTCTCCCTAACAAATAAATTCGGCTTTATATATTTCGGTTAGCCCTCAAAAAAAATACATCAGTGACTCCATGAATGGGTTATCAATAATTTTCCATTTGTCATGCTTATTATTTATCACTGCTCCTAATACACTACATGCATCTCAACTTTGTCAAGAAGACGGTAGACGAGTGGATCTAGAGACCATATCAAGTTGCATAGTTGTCGGTTTGAATGTCTAACTAACTGGCTGACTTATCTAATTCTATAATGCGATTGAAGGCCTGAAATTTAATGAATAATGAAGATAATAGTGACTCTGACCTGAAAGTCACCGACGTTTATAAATGATCAGGCAAACAAACCTTAATGTTTTATATAGCGGGATGAACAGCCTTATTATGTATGATATTTCTTTATGATTTTTATTTCTAAGTGGCTAATATATTCTGATCACCACGTAAGCTATAATGGCATATTTTATTGTTAAAAGAACTGTCAATTTGCTTTAATCGTCAGGGCTAAAAATGCCTCACGGACACTTCGCAGTAGAGCTTAATGTTTCTTAAAATAATCTGAAATATATTCTTTAGACTTTAGTCAGAACGCCGAAGTTCACTTGTGACCTTCCTACACAAGTGCAGATGTAGAGAAACACTAGAGAAGCTGACGCGCCTTGAAGAAGCATACAGAAATAAAAGAAGGGAAGTATAATGAAATCGAGAACAAGTTACTGCAGACGGACTATGGCAAGAATCTCGTGAATGGTGAGAGGTTAATACAGTTACACTACCGTGGAAAATTCTGGGTTATGTTTCCAAGGGTCGTCAGATATTGTACACTGAACACCACTGACCTGACACTGCAATACAACCGTTAAACTAGAACGATATATCGCATGTATTTGACTTATCAGTACTCAAGGTTCACAAACCTCATGCTAATCCGACCACAATTTCTGGAAATGAATATTTTAACATACACTCTACAAAAAGGCTAAATAAGGTTACCACCATGAAATTTTCGAGACCCTAGCAGAGGCAAGAGGCATGAAGTAAAACTAAAGCCGTGAATTTCTCTGTATGCAACTCCAGTGAAGGGTGAGGTACACAAAGCAATGAATTAGTCTTTTCAAGGTAATTTTGAATCCCTTGTTCTGCAATTAATAGTATTCTCTGAACTGGTTGGTTTAGCTGCGGAGCTTTCGTCGTCCTACTGGACAACATTTTCAGCCCAATATTCCAAATCAATAGAAAATGGTCAATACATATGTAAAGGTGGTTACCGGGAGACGCAATTATATCACTCATGAAGAAATTTAAATCATTTCACTTTATGCTAAATATTGCGCTGAAGATGTTGTCCAGAAGGACGAAGAAAGCTCTGCAACTAAACCAATCAGCTCAGAGAACACTATTAATTGCAAATCATCCACGTGCGCTACAAATCTTCTCTATTATTTCAGAATCCTTTGTTCACTGGAATCTAGGCACACGACGGAGTGATATCATATAAAAGCCTAGGATACTTTATTACTTTAGATGATGAAATTATGATATTTAAGAAGAATGCACTAGCTATGACACAAACACCAACATTATTAATGGAGTAATAAGGGGTAACCCCAAGCTTACAACAGTTCTAAACTTATTCTAACCTATTCTTCGATGCCTTTTTACGGTAAATGAACATTTTATCTACCCACTAAATTCTGAAATAAAGCTGATCGTGCCTAAAAAGAGAGCTTGGTGCTGAATTAAGTCTTTCCGTTCTGAAGTAACGCTAGTCCTTGCTGGAACAACGCTAAGCAAATCCAGTAGGTTCTGATCTACTGAAAATGCCTAGAAAAGAACACTGTACTAAATATGTGCCAGTCATGCTGAAAACCAGCCCTTAGTTCTAGTCTGTGTCATTAAAGAATCCCTTTCAAAGCATTCAGAATTTACTCACTATAAAATGTTAGAGTTATTTCAGTATTAGTGAGATTTAATTCAGCATTATAGTAAGCTTGGGACAGTTTTTCCTAGCGAAATGAACTGTTACAACTTAAATATACTGGCTGGTCACATGAACTTACACTACCAAAATACTTATCCAAGAGCTCAACATATCTATGAATTATTTCCAGAGTTAGGAGCTCGTTATCCTGTGGTTCAATTGCAGTGCAAAAGTATAGACTTGCATACCTGAAAAAAAATTGAACCAGGAAATTAAAGCCTACCGACGATAAACAACTTTTAGATCTTTCCATTCAATAAAAGAACACATTTTCGGCTTCCGTGACAATACAATCATGGTAAGATCGCGTAAAATTTTTTTCTTTTCCCTTTCAGAATAAGATGTATACCACTTTTGGAGGCGCACTTTGCCCTGCCTACTAAACAAAAGCATGAATTGCATCTGAAAGTAGGAATATTTTGAACAAAACTACCATATTTGCGACTCAACAGCAGTCTTTGAAACTGCCGGTAGGTCGCGCCTCGTAAACGACCTACAGAAATAATGTGGTAGTCTAGTTTTAATTCCTGAGACTTCCTCCATGGTTCTCGACTAGCAGATGCCTCAGGAACCAAATATTATTTTTAATAATCAAAACGTTAATCATTTTTAAATTCTAATTTTATCCAGAGAGAGTGCAATAACTAACCCTTAATATTTCGACTCAATAAAACTCTTCAGTGTAAACATTAGAGTGATTGGATGAAAAAGTCGATTCTACAGGATCTTTTGTAATGCTTATGATATTTTAGGATTGATTTTGGTTATTTTGTTCAGATTGTCGCTGGATATCAGATTGTTGATTATTGTGGTATGGTATTTTCTGATCTGGGTGGATTAGTTTTCTTACACACAACATTCTCAACTGGAACTTTACTACTTTGTGGGCTTCCGAAATTATCCATGAGTGGAGTGACCTCTTTCCGTATGATCTGGTTGGTTATCTCCAGAGCTTTCCTTATTGCTGATTTCGTATACTTTGGCGTAGGTTTTACGGTGTGCCAGCACATCTCATCTTAAGCAAGTCCACTACGTTTGTAGTGTAGCTCCATTTCATTATAACCACTGCGGGTTTTATGATGACAAAAACAAACCGGAGTCCCGTGGAGTTACTGCGTCCGTCATATGCCCGAAGACGACTGCAGGCAATAGTAACAATATTTTGTTTACCATATTTTGCTTCACTGGTTTTCACTCGGCCTTATTCGGTAGAGTTACAGATTCCGAAAACTACCCATGTGTCACAAATTACAAAAACATAGGTCGGCAAGGAATATTCTTTTCGTTACTTCAATTAGAAGCTCTACGATTATACAGTGTTGTACATTTCATAAAACCATATAACTGTGCAGCTTTGAAGTGAAGTTACGAAAAGAATAATCTTAGCTGAATACTAAAGTGTTTTGACTTACGTGGCGATGAATCGGTAATAATTTTTTATTGACCCAATAATCAGGATATCTCAACTGGGAAATACAGAACATAAGCCTATCAAAGGATACATCCAGGTTGGAAATATGATGAGAAGTTGCAGGAATACAAAATTATGTCACGATTCGTGCACCATTGTTCCTTCTTCAAACAACAAATATCTACGACGACTTTATGTGGATTTCGGAGGTACTCATGTAAGGTTATTCATATTAATTTGTACAAGTTCCATGAGTTTATTTGACTTTCTACAAGTTTAATCAATGGCATTACTCAGACCAAAATATAGGATTAAAACTACTTATATGATCAGGAATGAAACCAAACAGCAGTGACCACCAGTCCGTATTTGAGGGCAGCTAATGAGATTTGAGTTTCACGTGCCACCTGAAATAATTCCTGCCTTCAACAGTGGTTGTAGGCATAAGATTACCAACCAATATTTAGGTAAGAACAACGTGTACAAGGGAGTGAAAGCTGTTTAAGAAAATTTGAAGTGCTAAGGTGAATCGATAATGTATAATTAAATAAGTAAGTGCAATATATCATTAGTAAATGCATTTGTAGAGGGAATGCTATGTGAAACTGATTAATCCTTAGGCTGAGAACGTTCATTCGCAATGTATAATGCTACCCCATATAGGTCTTCCTATCATGATGTCCACTTTTGGCTTTAATACAATTATTCTAAAGCCAGTTGTTTTTATTTCATACCTTATTGTCTATTTGGTGCACGACCGTACCCTACAGAGAATAGGAATAGAATAAGTCAAATCAAATTCATAAAGAGCTATAAAATGTTAGGTTTAATGGAATATAATGAGGATCAAGTAAAGACGTTATTAGAAAATGAATGAGATAAGACATTGTGAAGTGGTATTTAAAGATCCGACAATGGACAGCAAGTTAATCTATAAGATACCCCATAAATCTGTGAAGAGCCCACGTGGTCGCACCTCAACAATAGGCTGAGCGAATGGTATATGTTTAAAGGCAGAAGCATGATCCGTGTAGGCGTTCATTATTATCTTTTCCAAGATGAAGATCTAAACCCTCAGAAAAATCTCTAGCCATCAAATTGCATATTGCTGTTCCTGCAGAATGGGGCAATTCACCTTGGTGACCACCACCATATCTACTGATCAGCTAGCGCCACCCTCGCTCCTTTTATGATGTTAGGCTCTGAGACTGTGATTATTATGGCTACCGCAAATATATTGCTTGGTACCAGACATGTTCCTACCTCATATTCCATATCCCTAGCCTTCCTAATGAGTGCTTCCTATAGGTCTCCACGTGCATCTTTATGAACATATTATATGTGTGCATGCGTCCTAATGGACAGATTACCTGATAAGAAGTCAAAACCTTAAAGAGTAAAGAGAATAGGTCTTGTGAATAGTTGAGCAAGATTCAGCAGAACGCTATAGTTGGGGTTCAATGTAGGCAGTATGAACTGAAGGTAAGGTCGGTTGGCAGGACTTATTGTACTAAATTATCATGACAGTCTTATGTATGGTAAACATCTGACATTGCAAAGTAACCCGTCTACACATATTATAAAAAGATATTAACACTGAACCAACAAAGTTTTAGCATTTGGTTAACAATACTGCAGTGTGTGTATACTGAGGAAGGGTAGTGAGTCTTACAGGGAGCCGTAAAGTAAATTAAACTTATATGATAAGAGTATGACCGATATTGTAATTCGTATTATCAAAGGATACATTAGTCCCAATAATTGAGCGTTATAAGGGAAACAAGCGTGGTAAAGCAACAGAGCATTTGCTGAATAAATATTTTAAGTATTTTAATAACAATCTAATTTTAAGAATTGAACATGCATAATTATTAAGTATTATTATATTAGTATATACTTATGTAATGTCAAAAGGTGTGGTTGCTATTATGATTATTTCCAGGGTTATTCTTACCAACACAACTTAGTGAGGATTATAGAGAATAGTAAATTAGTTAACGTTTGCTGCGTAAGTATTAGATTCGAGTTATACGTATGTGACTATAATGAAGACTGGACTGGCTTTCAATTTCCGTTCTACCAACAGTTATGGTCTTTCAGACGAGCTAGGGCGGACATGTTGAAGTGTCTTTCTATGCTCCATTTGAACCCATCGGGGTTTTCACAACTCTTACTTCCGGTGGTAGTTGATTCCAGAGAGTGTAATATTTTATGGTGAAAAAGTTTGCCCTAATGGATTTTCTGTGGGTAGCCACCTTGACAAGGTAGTCGTGGTTTCGCAGCTGATATGATTTAATATTTTCCTACGTTATGGATTAGTTACTAAAGCAATGTTTCCTAATGACTTTGAAGAGTAGAAATAAGTTGCTATTCACTCTCCTTAACCACAGAGGTTCTAATTTCAGACACATACACCAGTCAACATATTCCACTTGTTGGTCAAACCCTATTATGCGTTTCGTGAGGAATCTCTGGACGCTTTCGACTTTTTTTCTGTCTACAGACCTGAGGTTACTAAATAGGAGAGCGCAATATTCAAGTTTGGGACGGATACATGTCCTATATATAGCTAATCTTGCTTCTTGGGTGTAGAAGTTACGCAGTACAAAGCCAGTGAGTCGTTTACAGTCAGATACAACCTTATTTGCGTGATCGGAAAAGGATAAATCTGAGTATGTTATCCCGAGATCTGTGACTGTGTTCAGTTTTGAGAGGAGCTTGCCGTACATATATAGGCACATTATCGGTTTCCAGCGTCCAAGGTGGGTTATACCGCACTTGTCTGGGTTGGAAGTCAGCTGCCACTTTTCGCTCCAATCGCCCAGATCGTTTAAGTCTTGTTGGATCTTGCTTTCGACGCTCATATCACCGTACCCATAGTAGTATACTATCTTGAGATCATCTGCAAAGAGGTATGGCTTGCCATACTTCATTACAGAGACTATGTCATTTATAAATAAGAGGAATAGAATGGGGCCAAGAACGCTACCTTGTATTACACCACTGGTTATCGGTTTTGAGGAAGACAGCTGGTGGTTGATTTTGACTAAATGCTCACTTTCTGCGAGAAAAGAACTTATCCATTTGAGAAGATTTCCGGTTTCTGATTTGAAGTGACTGTGCGCCAAGTCTCACATTAACTAAAGCAGACAAATTCTAGTGTCGAGTGGAGTGCGAGACTAGTGCAAAAGAAGGATGCATGTGATATGTATCCACATAATATGTGTTTGTTTTTGACAGTCTGTTATATTTTGCTATGTATATATGGATCGATATTCCATTATAATTGACGATATGTTTTTGTCTGTTCACTAACTAAACAAACGTGTCTGACCTTGTTGTCACATGACATTACAACCGATCATGTTAAGACTGTCTATTGATTCGTTCATTTTTGAACATTCGCTCATACACTTGTGTGACATTTATTTTCCTTGTTTTGAAAAATACAAGTATTATCGTGAACCTGGTGGTTTTCTGATTTCCGCCTTCCTGCGTCAGGACTATTAATTACTCGACCAGTACAGCTTGGTACAAATTTCTTAGTACATTTTCTATAAGAAAGCATCCGCCAACCATCCATCAACACACTGGGAATAATAGTGACTGAGTGCCTTTGTAACATATCTCCTCTAACTGCGGTGTCGTTATTTACCGTTATGTTTCCTAGATGAAATATGCAATCGGAATTTTCGCAGACTATAGCTGGCATAACCTACTTGATCTGCATCATAGCTACTGCACTTGTGTCAGAAAATGTGGAATGATACTGCCGTCTGCGCTACTTGATAAATTGAAGAGTGCACTGTTTTAAAAATCAAAAGTGTGCCCCGTCACTTTTATGATCTCATGCTTGTATATTTCGTCTATTTATTGATACGCTGTCTTATTCGCTGTTAGACCAGTTAACACTCATCACATAAATCAGCATTTGTTTCTGTTTCCATGCACCTGACACAAACTTTTTCCTTTCAAGACAAAAAGCAATAACACTGTGAACTTGCCATATTGTGAAATTGTGTTTC